AAATTAAGAATTTTCTACAAAATAATAAAATTAATAATTCATATTAAAATATTATCCAGCATAATAATTATTACATCGCTATTTTAGAATTCTAAGAAAGTTTTTTTTATTAAAATGTTTAATAAATTTGATAATTGTAATATTTTTTCGAATATATATGTGTGTGTGTGTGTGTATGTATGCTTCTATTTTATATATAAAATTGTTCTGTAGAATATACCATATTTCGGGGAATATCAAAAGTTGCGTGAACAGAAAATAGCCGAGCTGAAAGCAAACTCAAATCCCTTGGATCAAGTTATCAAAGTAACACGACCGGCTCAAGAACCAATCGCTCCGATACCTAGCGTTAAGGACGTAATTGGTAAAGCGACAGCCCATATCAGCAGCTACAAAGAATTAGACAACAAGAAGCAAGTTGTCGCCTTGATTGACGATGTATGTTATAAATAGTTTGACTAATTAATATCTTAATTATCTAAATAATATTTAAACGATATTTAATTATATGATATTCAAGTATCTTTACATTTATTTGCCACTCTTTTCAGGATATGTGCATAAATTGCGGTAAGTGTTATATGGCTTGCGCGGATTCTGGATATCAAGCGATTACCTTCGACGCTGACACTCACATTCCCAAGGTGACCGACGATTGCACCGGATGTACACTTTGTCTGTCCGTGTGTCCGATTATCGATTGTATTACGTAAGTTTCAATTTAAAATTATACTCTATTTTAATTTAATTTTTACTTTATTGTGTATTTTATTTTTTAGTATGGTTCCGAAAACAATTCCACACGTGATTAAGAGAGGCGTGCCGCCGAAAAATGTAATCGATATCTTTTAAATAATACTTTATCGTCACTTTCAACAAGGTATGTAAAACAAATTACCTTAACAACAGTATTGCATTTTTTTCTGCAAACGATTATTGAATGATTGTTGACATCATATTTAATTATATTAGTTTTGTGTCATTAATAACCCAGCTGATAGAATATGAAAAAATACGACAGAATACGATATTTGATTGCAATTGATAAGTTTTATTTTATTTGCGTTATATACATCACTTCCTTATTATAATACATATATAACATACATAATTTTAATAGTACAATATGTACATAATGATCTATTATATAAGTTAAATGAATCGACAGATGTCGATTTTAATCCAAAAAATGATAAATTTCAAATCTTATAAATGTATTTTGAATAAATTCATAAGACGAAACATAATACAGTTGAGAAAAGTTAGAAATTTACAGTACAGAATTTTTTAAGAGTTCTTATGTTAGGAGTAGTAGAATAATATAGCGCATACATAATTGTAGGATTACATCTTAAGAATCTTACATTTAGAAATCTTATTTTGCCAAATTGTTTGAACGTCTTCTATTTTGACCATTGACTCAAAAGCGAGGACTATCATTCCATTGATATCTGCGGCACTGATCTTTGCATTCTGAACTGCTAGTAGAAGCGCTAAAATTTGCATTTTTGATAAAAATTAATTATATCTAATTTACAATATTTAATGCAACCAATTGTTGAAAAATTGAAATAAATTTTGTATACAAAAGCCTTTTTTCTATTGCAACAAAAATTTTAAATTTACTTAATTTTGCTGCCAAACGATAACCAAAATGAATTAAATAATAAGCACTACTATTATTTATCTTACTTGCAACCGTTCTCTGGGCATACGCAGCTGAAGCACTGTGGGTTTAGTATATTGAAATACGTTTTTCCGATCCCTTTGGAGAGTATGCTATTGGCATTCTTCAAGCACTTGTAGAACTCTTTGTCGCAAGCGCAAGCAGATCTATTTGTCAAAAAATTACATAAGTTAGACAATCAAAAGGTCAAAAGTTATTAGTGAAACAAGCGCAAAGGAACGAATTTGTTGTTGAAGATGCAATATGTAATATGAGATATTGCTAGATCTGCATATCACATTTATCATGTAAATTTTGTATTTGAATATCAGAACGATACAAAATTTATTTTAGACATCGCAATGCCACAAAAAAATCTAACAAGAGAAATGCATGAGAGATTGTACTACAAATAATGGTCTTATTATCTCGTTTGTCGAATTACCTCGTAAACAAGCCATTGTTCTTGAGATTGAGTTTTGTGTCACCAGACGGTATATTGTTTTCGCATTTATCATGCGCTCTGCAACAGGCGTCTGTTTTATTGAATTTGCCGAGATCGGCATCGTTATTCGCTCTATCTCCATTGCCGCACCAGAGTGTTCCTAACATGAATATTATCGATGAAGAAAATATTCCATTCAATAATGATAATAAATTCTTTTTTTGTTAGACTTACAAATTTATGTTTTGCTAAACTGGTGTTTTTAGTTTCACCTTTTAATTTTTGATGCAAATAAAATAAAAAAAATAAAAATTATACCTGAGAGAGAAAGAAGAAAGTACCCAATCAATTAAAATCATTATTTTTTAATGTATTTTTATTACAAAATTGCTAAAAAAACATCTATCGATCTCTATAAGTTTATGAAATTATGATGCAACTAAAATGTATAATGCTTTACATTATAAATGCATCAGTATTTTTTCCAAAATAATGAATAAAAAAAGTTCAGAATTAATTTTTAACTTTAAAATATTTTAAGGTTTCGTTTTCAAGAAATAACGTTTCCATTTCAAGAAGAGAACAACTTTAAAATATATTACAATTTGTTTTTAAAACATTGTCTGAAAAAAACATATCGCGGAAGTTACCGCTGCAATTGACGTACGCTTGTCGTATTTACATCTGATTGCACGCATGAACGTGAGAAATAAAAGTTTAGATTAGAATCCTTCGACACATCGCATGTATCAGAAGTCGATTATTAGATTCAACGTTTTTGATTATCATTGTGGAATTTTCCAGCAGACTTTTGTGATAACTCTTAACGTTTGCAATGATTGAAATGTATCTTTCGAAGCATTTCATTCTCTTTCGCAATCCATATTTATTCTAACAGAATAATTTTATTTAAAAAATTTTAAATTAATATTATTTAAAACATAAAATTAGATTTCAGTTACAGTTTTATACTTTATAAACAATTCTCGGAAGATACTTGCATTTAATGAACGGATTAACGGCACGGTGTTATCTTGTTTCTTCATAAATATGAAATATGGCGCGGAAAAAGCGAGTTTGTTCAATATTCTACATATCGTTATAAAGATAATTTTGTTTTTCGCGATTATTCGAATACGAACTATAAGTCGTCCGTCAATTTATACATATGTCATATTGTCTCATTGCACTTATTGCGCATATTGAACATATTGCAGTGACAGTAAATCAGCATATTAACTCTATAATTTGGCAAGGCAATAAAAAACTTATCAAAATAGTACAACGATTTACGTGAATTCAAAATAACTTTCCGTGTGATCGATCAATATCGATCGACATCTCCAATTTCTCGGTAAATAATGTAATTCGTCTGTAATTATTCACAAATGATTAGCCATACGTTTTTTAATTCGCAAATAAATGTCAGATGTTCTATGATTTCAAAAAATATGTTTTTCTTATGATGGTTTTATTATGGAATCATTAAAAAAACAGAAGTACATGGAAGCGTTAAAATTAATCTTCAGTAATTAAATTATTCACGAATAGGAATTAATAAGTTCTCAAAAATTATTACAGATTCTATTTGTAATTTTTTTTTGTGTAAAAATTCTACTCGTTTAATAGAGAGATTTTCTAAAAACTTTTCTACAATAAAGTACAAAAGATATTGTTTGAACAATATATATTTCTATATATGTGTAAAGAAGAATATGTATAGTCTGTAAACTGTAAACTATCTTGTCAAGAGATAAAAGTGTTTCTATGCATAAATATGTATAGCGCGATAATTAAAGAAGTGTTTATTCGTGCATTTTAAATAAATTTTATGCTATTACTGAGGTGTAAAAACCTTGTCATATCTAGCTATTAATCTTTCAATTTATCCATTTGTGTACACAATAAAAAATTGTGACTTCAAAACTGCGATTTCACGCGTTATTTGCATTGAAATAAAAAATTAAAGCAACGTATTTTTAAAAACATAAGTTTGGAAAGATTAAGGCATATCTATTTTACAAGCGTATCTTCACAAGCTTTAATAACTACATTTATAAAATTATTGATAACTGTAATGGGTTTTTTTTTCAGAAAAAAATTGTTATGTAATTAATTAGCTAATAAAAATAAAAGATGAAATCAGAAATTGAAGATTTTACATAAAATAATTTGCAAATACTATATTTTCAATAATTTTTTTGCTAAAAAAGATTGTATTTGTTATAATTGATAGCAATGTGTAAAATTCATGCGTTTATTGCCAATTATAAAAATATTTATTGCATGCAAAATGAAACCAAAAATATTCTTTTTATGCTTAAAAAATATAAAATATTAATGATATTTAATAGAAATAATATTAAGATTTGCTTTTTCTTAAATTGTAAGTAATAATCGTAATAAAAAACAAACTATTAGAGCAAGAGCTAGGTAAAATTGCTCAAAATTCATTTTATTGATAATGTACAAACGTTTCGGCCTAAAGAGATGTGTCTTCAGTGTACAAATTTTAAAATTAATAATGAAGTTATAAACATAACATAATGGTGATACATAAGTTAATTAAACAAGAAACGCTTTCGAACTTTGACTTTAACTTTGATTAGATCTCCTCTGGTAATGATTATATGATATAATGATATGTAAAAATTTTGAAAATTATACATATGTCATTGATAGTTAGCGAAACTCTACTAATCAGTCGAAACTCAACTAATCAGTCGAGGTTCGCTCACTATCGATGACACATGTACCATTTTTAAAATTTTAACATATATTTCCTGGATAGTTTAAGTTGGACGTTCTATGGCATTACACACTTTTAACAAAGTTAAAAACAAAATGTACAAGCAGGATTACCAGAAGAGATCTAATCAATGTCACAGTCAAAGTTCGGGAGCGTTTCTTGTTTAATTAACTTATGTATCATCGTTATGTTGTGTTTATAACTTCATTATTAATTTTAAAATTTGTACACTGAAGATGGCCACATCTCTTTAGGCCGAAACGTTTGTACATTGTTAATAAAATGAATTTTGAGCAATTTTAACTAGCTCCTGCTCTAATAGCTTGTTTTTTATTACAGTATTTAATAGTTTAATATAAAATAATGTTTTGTTTTAATTCTAATTCTGACAATATTCTTAATATTTTAATGAAATATATATATATATTTTTTGATTATACGAAAAAGTAGATTTTCTTAAATTTATTATTGCCATTTAAAATGTTTTCTGGTAAACTCTTCAATTACGAATAGTCGAATTACCTGGAAAGATGAAGAAACTAGACACGTTTCTGGATTCGTCGCCACTGCTGCTAATGAATCTTGCAGACACTTTATCGTTCTGGGGACGTTCTGCGTTAAAATCTTTTCTATACACGGAAAATAAAGACATTCTTATTTTAAAAATATCTTTATTTTTAACATGAAAATCTTGAAATGAGATTATATTGCTTTAAACGAAGAAAACTGGCTTGAATGAAGTCATTTTATATAGTTCAACCAAAAAAAAAATATTCTTATTATTTAAGAATAATATTCTTATTATTTAAAAATAATTTTCTTCAATGGAAAAGAAAAAATGTTGGATAGAAAATAACATATTTTTCAAATAAAAGGAAGATATTTTATTGTCAAAATAATTATATTGTATTCTTCAAGTGATCATTATAAAATGGAAATATATATATATATATATAAGACTATAGTATTGTTAAAATTTAAGATTATTAAATTCTTATCGGAAGATTATAAATTGTTGCGTATATACGAAACTATGAACGCGTTAATTTGAATATATAAACTTTGATTTGATACTACTTTTTTTCCGTATTTACCTTATGAAATATGTCTGAAATATGTTTTTCGTATGTTCTTGATTTTCTTTTTGGGATTTCTTCAACTTCGCCAATGGCCATTCTACATGTAACACACGAGTTTTATCGGAGCCAGGCGAAACCTCAGCATCACAATTAACATTATTCGTTGTATCCTCACAATCACCGAATTGAACGGTGATGTTGAGTACGAGGAAGAGTACGAAGAGACAGACACGTACACGTGACATTGCACTATGTTTTCACCTGGAATAAATGACGGTAGGATAAGAAATAGTTCTAATGAACAAAAGCACACGCTGTTAAGTGCATGTTAATAAAAAAGCTAAGAGGAGAATTATTTAAATATCAAATTAAACACTTGTAAGTTACAAAGAAATTCTTAGACACATGTCTTAGAATAGAAATGATACATTCTCTATAATCGTAAGATTCTTAATCATACGTAAAATTGTTTCATGGTAAAAATATTTGAGAAGTTTTTATAACAATAATGTTTACATAAGTCTTTTTTTTTTTTACTTTCTGATATAAATACAATTTCATTGAAAACATGATATGAACTAGGACGCTTTAATGATTTCATATCTAAATCATTGCCATTCAACGTATTGTTTAAGTTATGATAAGCTGAAAAACAATTGTATATTCAGGGTCTGACACCGTTTTCCCTTAAGGCTGACTCTGCGTCTATTTTTTTACACAAATTGTAGATAATTAATGACTTATAATTACAGTGTAATTTAAGTGTTGCAATATTTAAATTAAGTACCTATATAGTAACGACTGACTACGATGGTCGTTCATTTAAATGAACTATTCGTTTCTTAATATTTTAATAATCTTTATTTTCATATAGAATTATAACTGTGGAGATAAAAGTGGCAAAATTAAATACTGTCCAACCATAATCTATATTATTATAAAACAATTTCTTTCTTTCACGTGATAAATGAGTAAAATAGCAGAAATTTTTTAAATGAAATACTTGATTGCAAAATTTTTATGCATTGTTTATAGTCACGTCATGTTTATAGTTTACTGCCAAATTTGCCTTATCTTTCACAACAAGCGATAAATTTTTTATGCAAAATGCATATATGTGCTGGTGATTATGAAAGGAAGCTAAGTCATATATTGTAATAATTTTTTTATTTTAAAATACTTTGACATTTTATAGATCGATGTAACACAAAATAAATAATAAAATCAATTTTAAAAAATTTTTTACTTTAATAGTTTACTTTTATAGTCATCAGCACATATATGAATTTTTGTATTTTGGATACTCCAATATTTTTCAATAAAATTTTTAAAATAAAAAATTGATAATGAAAAATATCTATCTACTAAAAAAAAATATATATAAAATTTTATTTTTTTAACAATTTATGTTACACTTTTTTAATAAATGTTATTTTATTTTTTCACAAATTTTTTAGTAATCAATAGTTTAATAAAATAAAATCGATTATATTTGAATAAATAAAAAATATAACAAATCTAAACAAAAACGCAAATGAATTACACCACACTATAATAAACAATTTACATTTGCTCGGTAATTCACTTGCGCTTTTATATAGATTTGTTCAGTCATTCCAGTCTTCTAAAATTTAAAAAGTACAACACACTTTTATTTAACAATTATTGAAGATAGATTATAGCACTATCGCGAGGAAAAAAATACAAATATAAAATACATTAACCATATATTAAAACATTAATTTTTTTTATTTTAAAAATTTTATTGAAAAATATTGGAACATTAGAGTATCCAAAATACAAAAATTCATATATGTGCTGATGATTATAAAAGTAAACTAAGTAAATAATTAAAAAAAATTGATTTTATTATTTATTTTGTGTTACATTGATCTATAAAATGTCGAAGTATTTAAAAAAAAATGATAATAATAACGATGTAAGAAATAGTGAAATTGATTTAAGCTGATATAATAATTCTTCGTTCGAGACTTTTGCTAATCTCGCGAAAATTATAGCGAACATTGTGTCTGCTTACCTGATTGCAATCGACTGGCGACACGGGCTGGCCACAGCTTGACAGTACTTCACTTAAGTATCTTCGCGGATATCTTATTCCACCTGCAGAAGGTGGCGCACGCAGGGTGTGCGAAGGTAAGTCGAATATTGTCATTTAACACTTGTGCAAATGTCAAAGGTGGGCCCAAGGAGAATTTTGCCGGTACATATATCAGTTGTATTATTTATGTAGACGATAAAGATAAAAATTTGCAATTAGTATTCATTTGAATGACGTGACAAACAGTCAACAATGTGCATAATTTGCGATGGACAAACTTTGCCTTTCATTTGTCTTTCTCAATTCTTGTTTATCCGTTTGATCCCGATGGTATACAGCTGTGAAATGTTATCCATTATTATTGTTTGATACGACGGGTGTTCTATTATGAAGACTCTTCCGCAGAATTAGAAGTATGTATCATCGCAATTGATCATTAACGTGTCGCATTTAATGAACAACCATTGCTGTTTGCGTATGCAAAATACATATTTCTGACACTCTGCGCGTTGTCTACGAAGTTTATGCGATTATTAAAAGATGCAGTAGATAAATATATGGAAGGTCAAACAACAGACATTTAAGGAAATTATTTAAAAAACTCCACTTTTTAACTTTTCCTTCTCTATACATATGTCATTTATATGACCTTATTAGACCGAGCGCTACAAAATTACACGTGAATATATAAATTCATAGTCAGATAAACACTATACATATAACTTTAACATATACGATAATTAATGTATAAAAATAACAGTCTAAAATTGCTTTTAATCCGCTTAAAAAAATAACACGTACAAAATGTAAATCATTACACGAGTAACATTTTACAACACATGCTTGCAGCGCTTGCGTTTAGGAATTCTTTGCGGTATCGTCCGTATCACAGTCTTCATTATCCTGCGTTGGTTGACCCAGCAAGGCGCGGCGTTTTTGCAAACGTGCGCATCGTGGACAATAATGATTACGTTTGGATCAACAAACGCGGTGATGCACCGCCGAGCATTGGTGACATCGAACTTGTATTCCATGGAAAAATAATCTCATTGTCGCATATTTCGCACAAATATCCTTTGAAAAACATTACAGGTTATGTAATTATTACACGGTCGAAATTATATCTTTTTGCAAACAATAATTGGAATTATGCATACAGAATTATCGTAAGTTTAAAAATACTTAATGTAAAAAATTTTACGTGTATTGAATTTCAAGAATGATAATAATATGAGACCTTGATAAATAAATTGGGTGTAAAAACTCAGTTATGTCGAGTTGATGAAACGCGTCATTTTTTTCACTCGAATACTCACCTTGCTTTGCAGAGTTCGCATTGCTGCGTGATGTGTGCATGATCGTGTTGTACGCAGCGCAAAGCTCGTCCAGAAGAACGCCACTTTGAAGATCGATGAGATCCTTGACGAAGTAATTACTGGAATTCCCGATCATGTGCGCGCGTATTTTCCACGGTAATCCTTGAGCGCAAGTTTCCATAGGACTAAATAAATATCTCTTCATCATTTCTAATGTCTCTATATTTAATTCAACTTTTAATCACTTAAATGATAAACGTGGCGTTTGACTTATACATTGCTTGTTTTCCCAGATTTTTAAACAGATGAATATTCCTCAAACTAGAATACCTAATCAAATGGTACCTCATGCAGATACGAAGATCGCTCTTCTCGGTTGCGGACCAGCTTCTCTCTTATGTGCGACATTTCTCGCTCGACTTGGTTACAATGATATTACGATCTTTGAAAGAGAAAAATATATAGGCGGGTTAAGTTCTTCCGAAATACCACAATACAGACTTCCATATGACGTTGTCAGCTTCGAGGTGGATCTCGTTAGAGATTTATGAGTGAAAATTGAGTTAGGAAGATCGCTGTCCAAAGACGATTTGACAATACAGATAAATTTGATTTAAAAATAATAATTTGTTGATTTTTCACAGTATTTATTTTTAATTATATTAGATATTTTAATAAAATAATTTTTATATTATGGCCTTATCAGTCTATTTTAATTTTGAGAAAAATGGTTTAAATTTTTAAAATTAATTTTCGTTAATATTTTCTAAATTCTAACTTTAAAAATTATGATTTAAAATGTTTTTATCAATTTTAGTAATAAATTATTCTACGAATAAGTTCCAAAATGTTTTAGGGCCTTCAAAATGTTGGATATAAAGTAATCTTTTTAGGAATTGGCTTTCCAGAGCCAAAGAGTATATCGATTTTCGAAAATCTTACACCGGAAATGGGTTTCTTCACCTTGAAGAATTTTTTGCTAGCTGTCGAGAAAGGCAGCAAGCCGGGAATGTGCGCTTGCAAGAGCAATCGGGAATTTCTGTCTCTTCGTGGCAATGTTTCATTTTTTGAAATAATTTATAATGAATTATAATGAAGCGTGTGAAGGCGTGATGTTGATTAAGATGAACAGATGGAACTTGTCGAAAGTAGACGAGACTATGATGACGACCGTGACGACCTCAGTGCCAAGTGTGTTCTGTGGAGACCTTGCTGAGATCACTCAAACGACCGTGGACTCTGTGAATGATGAAAAAGCAGCTGCATGGTATATTTACAAATATATACAGATGTGCCATCAACTAGCATATTTCAATTAATTCTGTGACATTTTGCAGTTTGCAAAATGTCACAGAAATATGGAATTTTATTAGAAATAAACGTAAATTTATATTTCTTAGCTAAAGTTACTCAGTATTGTCAATTAATAATATACGGTAATTTGATAATTAATATAATATAATAAGAAAAAACTTGCATTTGTGTTTATTTTAATAAATCTATACAATGTAAAACAAAATACGAAACAAAATTTAATATACATAATTTGCATTTCTTATTTTTCAAAATTAATAAAGTAATTTATATTATGGTTTTGATTGCTCTTTTTTTATCTTATCTTTGTGTATTCCCAAGGAATCTTATGATTTGACGATGCAAGCAATTTGTCGTCTTGACTGACGATTTATGTTATAAATGACTAATTAATATTTCAATTATTTAAATAATATTTAAACGATATTTAATTGTATGATATTATCCAAGTATGTATATTTATTTGCCATTCTTTCCAGGATATGTGCATAAATTGCCGCTAGTGCTATATGACTTGTGCGGATTCTGCATATCAGGCGATTACCTTTGACGCTAATACCCACATCCTCAAGGTGACCGATGATTGCATCTGATGCATACTTCGTCTGTCCGTGTGTTCGATTATCGATTCCATTGCGTAAGTTGCAAATTAAAATTATTATATTTTTTTTTTTGAAATTGTGTATTTTATTTTTTATTATGGTTCCGAAAACAATTTTACACGTGATTAAGAAAGGCGTGCCGCCAAAAAATGTAATCGAAATCTTTTAAATAATACTTTACCGTCATTTTCAACAGAGTATGTCAAACAATTAACCTTAACATCAGTATTGCATTTTTCCGGTGTAAACAATTATTGAATGACTGTTGATATTATATTTAATTACATAGTTTTTCATTAATAAGGGGTCGAACTGAAAGAATAAAACATGCGATGGTAAAACATGCGATGCTTTATTGCAATTGATAAATTTTATTTTATTTTATTATATACATCATTTCTTTATTATATTTTATAATATACATAATTTTAATAGTACCACAATATATACAATAATGGCCTATTATATAAGTTGAATGAATTTGGCTGATGTCGATCTTAATCCAAAAACTGTTAAAACTTAAATTTTTTGAATATATTTTGAATAAACTCATAACATAACAAAGCTGAGAAAAGTTAAGAAATTTTACAGTACAGAATTTTTTTAAGATGTGTCATTGTTATGAGTAGTAGGTTAATAGTGCGTACATATTGTAGGATTGCATCTTTAAAAATCTTACATTTCCAAATTTTATTTTGCCAAATTGTTTGAACTTCTGCTATTTTGACCATTGACTTAAAAGCTACGATTATCAACCCATGTATACCTGTTGCATCTATTTTTGCATTCCGAATCGTCAGTAGAAGGGCTGAAATTTGCGTTTTTAAATAAAAATTATCTCCAACTTTTATTTCTAATTTAAAATATTTAATGCAACCATTTAAAAAAATTGAAATAAATTTTGCAACATAACACAAACTTTTTTTTATTGCAGCAAAAATTTAAAATTTATTTAATTTGCTGCCAAACAGATAATCAAAATGAATTAAATTCATAATAAGCATTACTATTATTTATCATACTTGCAACTGTCCGTTGGGCACACGCATTTAAAGCACTGTGGTCCCAGTAAATTGAAATACGTTTCTCCGAATCCTTTGGAAAGCACACTATCGACATTCTTCAAGCAGTCGTATAACTCGTTGTCGCAATTGCAAGCAGTTCTATTCGTCACAAAATTACATAGACAGACAATCAGAAAGTTAATTATTAGTGAAACAAGCGCGAAGGAACGAATTCTTTATTGAAGATGCAATATGTAATATGAGATATTGCTAGATGTGCATTTCACATTTATTACGTAAATTTTGTATTCAAATATCAGGACGATACAAAATTTATTTTAGACGTCGCAGTGACATAAAAAAAACACGAGAAATGCATGAGAGATTGCACTACAAATCATGCTCTTATCATCTCGTTTGTTGAATTACCTCGTGAAAATACCATTGTTCTTGAGATTGACTTGTGTTTTACCACCCACCAAATCGTTCTTGCAATTATCATGCGCTCTGCAACAAGCGTCTGTCTGATTGAATTCGCCGAGATCGTTCTCGTTATCCGCTCTATCTCCATCGCCGCACCAGAGTGTTCCTAACATGAACATTATCGATGAAGAAAATATTTCATTCAATAATGATAATAAATTCTTTTTTTGTCAGACTTACAAATTTATGTTTTGCTAATCTAGTGTTTTTAGCTTTACTTTTTAATTTTTGATGCAAACAAAATAAAAAAATAAAAATTATACTTCAGAGAGAAAGAGAAAAGTATCCAGTCAATTAAAATTATTATTTTTTAATGTATTTTGATTACAAAATTGCTAAAAAACATCTATCGATCTCTATAAGTTTATGAAATAATGATGCAACTAAAATGTATAATACATTATAAATGCATCAGTATTTTTTCCAAGATAATGAATAAAAAAAAGTCAGAATTTATTTTTAACTTTAAAATATTTTAAAGTTTCCTTTTCGAGAAACAACGTTTCCATTTCAAGAAAAGAACAAATTAAAAAGAACAAATTAAAAATATACTACAATTTGTTTTTAAAACATTTTTGTCTGAAAAAAACATATCGCGGAAGTTACAGCTGCAATTGACGTATACGCTTGTCGTATTTACATCTGATTGCACGCATGAACATGAAAAATAAAAGTTTAGATTAGAATCCTTCAACACATCACATGTATCAGAAGTCGATTATTAGATTCAACGCTTTTAATTATCATCGTGGAATTTTCCAGCGGACTTTTGCGATAACTCTTAATGTTTGCAATGATTGAAATGTATCTTTCGAAACATTTCACTCTCTTTCGCATTTTTTTTTCTTTTTTTATATTTATTTTAACATATCAGTTTTTATAAATAAATTATTTTAAGTTAATATTATTTAAAACATGAGTTTAGATCCCAGTTACAGTTTTATATTTCATAAACAATTCTCGGAAGAAGTTTGCATTTAATGAACGAATGAATGGTACGATGTTATCTCGCTTCTTTATAAATAAGCTGATAATATGAAGTGTAGCGTGGAAAAATTGAGTTTGTTTAATATTCAGCATGTAGTTGTAAAGATAATTTTGTCTTTCGCGATTATCCAAATAAGAATTGTAAGTCGTCTGTCAATTTACACATATGTCATATTGTCTCATTGCACATATTGCGCATATTGCACATATTGCAGTGACAGTAAATCAGCATATTAACATTTATAATTTTGCAAAGCAATAAAAAGCTTATCAAAATAGCACAACGATTTACGTGAATTCAAAATAACTTTCCGTGTGATCGATCAATATCGATCGACATCTCCAATTTCACGGTAAATAATGTAATTCGTCTGTAATTATTCACGAGTGATTAGCCATACGTTTTTTAATTCGCAAATAAATGTCAGATATCCTATGATTTCAGAAAATATGTTTTTGCTTCTTATTATGAAATTATTAAAAAATTGTCGTAAGAAACAGAAGCACATGGAAGCGTCAAAATCAATCTGCATGAAACAATTTAAATTATTCGTAAATAAGAATTCATAAGTTCGAAAATTTTTTTATATTCTATTTGAGATTCTTTTCTTTTTCGTGTAAAGAACATATTTAACTCGTTTAACAGAGAGGGGGGGGGGGAATTTTCTAAAATCTTTTCTACAATAAAGTATAAAAAATATTGTTTGAACAATGTATGTTTTTGTGTATGTAAAAAGAATATGTATAGCTTGTTGTAAAGTGTGAACTGTCTTGTCGAGAGATAATTATGTGTTATTTACGCATAAATATGTAGAACGCGCTAATTGAAGGAGTGTTTATTCGTGTATTCTAAATTAATTTTGCTGAGGTGTCGAGACATATCTAGCTATTGCATCTTGCAATTTATCGATTTGTCTAAACAATAAAAAATTGTGATTTCAAACTACGATTTCACGCGTTATTTGAATTAAAATAAAAAATTAAAGTAATGTGTTTTTAAAAACATAAGTTTAGAAAGATTAAGGCATATCTACTTTACAAGCGTATTTTTACAAGCTTTAATAACTATACTGATAATATTGATAATTGTAACGGCTTTCTTCTTCAGAAAAGAGTTGTTTTGTAATTAATCAGATAATAAAAATAAAAGTAGAAATTAGAAGTGCAAAACTTTACATAAAATAATCTGTGAATATTATATTTTTAATCATTTTTTTGCTAAAGAAGATTGTATTGTCCCGATTGGTAGCAATGTAAAATGTAAAATATTTCATAATTATAAAAAGGTTTATTGCATACAAAATAAAACCCAAGAATATTCTTTTTATGCTAAAAAAGTATCAAATATTAAAGTAAAGTAAAAAGTAGATTAAAAAGTAGATTTTCTCAAATTTATTATTGCCATTTAGAATGTTTTTTTTGCAAACTCTTCGATTACGAGTAGTCGAATTACCTGGAAATATCAACTGGAAATTAATCTCTTTTTCGAATTTGTTGACAATGCTGTTAAAGGCTGCTGGACACACTTCGTTCTTGAGAATGATAATATATTTTATAAAATTCGCAAACTGATCGTCAAACTTCAGAAAAAACCATTCAACATATGACAGACGAGTTTCATCGGAGCCAGGCGGAACCTGTTCATCGCAGTTAACAGTAGTATTCGTTGTATCCTCGCAATCGCCGAATTGAACGGCGATGTCGAGTACGAGGAAGAGTACGAAGAGACAGACGCGTACACGTGACATCTATGTCTTCACCTGGAATAAATGACGATAGGATGATAAGAAATAGTTCTCCTAATGAACGAAAAGCACACGCTGTTAAGTGCATGTTAATAAAAATGCTAAGAGGAGAATGATTTAAATATCAAATTAAACACTTGTAAGTTACAAAGAAGTTCTTAGACACACGTTTTAGAATGGAAATGATAAATTTTCCATAATTGCACAGTTTTTTATAATAACGTTCATAAAGCCTTTTTTTTATTTTTGATATAAATGCAAATTTATTGAAAACACGATATGAATTAGAATGTTTTAACAGTTTTATATCTAAATCATTGTCATTCGATGTATTGTTTATACTATGACAAGTGGAAAAACTGTATATTCGCGGTCTAACGCCATTCTTCCCCAAGGCTGACCTTGTCTACTTTTTTCACAGAAGTTTTAAGCGAATCACTTATCATAATTGCAGTGTAATTTGTGTCGCAGTATTTAAGTTAAGTATGTTGCAACGACTGATTACGACGGTTGTTTAAATAAACTATTCGTTTCTTGATATTTTAATATTTTTTATTTTTAAATAGAATTATAACTGGCGATAAAAGTGGCAAAGTTAAATACTGTCAAACCATAATCTATATTAAAACATTTCTTTTACATGATAAATGGATAAAACAGAATAATTTTGAAATACTCGATCAAAATTTTTATGCATTGTTTGTAATCACGTTATGTTTATAATTTACTGTCAAATTTGTCTTACGTTGCACAACAAATGCAATAAATTTTTTGTGCAATGTGGTGGTGAAAGTGAACTAAATCATTTATTTTGATGATTTTTTATTTAAGATTTATTGAAGATATTTCGACTTTACAGATCGATATAACACAAAATAAATAACAAAATCAATTTTATTTTAAATTTTTTACTTAGCTCACTTTCATAATCACCAGCATATATGAGTTTTTGTATTTTGGATATTCTCATGTTCCAATATTTTTCAATAAAACTTTTACAATAAAAAATTATTAAATAAAAAATATTTACTAACAAAATACATATAAAATTTTATTTTTTAACAATTTATGTTACACTTTTTTAATAAATGTTTTTTAATTTTTCATAAATCTTAAGTATTCAATAGTTCCATAAATTCCAATAGTTCAATAAAATAATATTAATTATATTTAAATATATAAAAAATATGAAAAATTTCACAAAAGCGTAAATAAATTACGCTATAACCAGAATAAACAATTTTTTACTTTACCTCGATAGTCCACTTGCGCTTTTATTTAGATTTGTTCAATCATTTCTGTCTTCTAAAATTTAAAAAGTATAACACACTTTTAGCAATTATTGAAGATGGACTATCGCACTATCGCAAGGAAAAAATACAATATAAAATACATTGACAATGTATATTGTCCTTGTATTAACAACCATATATAAAAACATATTTAAAAGAAATGATAATAATAACGATGTAAGAAATGGCGAAATTTATCTAAGCTGATATAATAAACTTTTCGCTCGAGAGCTTGTTAATCTTCCGAGTCTTGCGAAAATTGTAGCGCACAACATGTCCGCTTATCTGATTATAACTGACTGACGACCATAGTTTGACACAACTTTACTTAACATATTGTAGACCGGAAAGTCCTTTTAATTAAATATTTCTGGTGACCGGCGATTTAAATGCTTTCTGAAATTTTTTAGGATTACTCACCCGTGTTCCTAAAACTTCCTGCAAGAAGCGCGCACAAAAATACGTGAATTAACGTAGCCGGTCGCAAACGTTTTGTTGCGGAACTACGTTAAATTACGTAGCTCGTCTACAATGTGTTAAGTTATTCGTGGGTACCTTATTCTACCTGCGGAAGGTGGCGCGCGTAGGGTGCGCGATAACAGCTCGAATATTGTCATTTAACAGTTGTGTAAATGTCAAGGGCACGACAAAGATAAAAATTTGCAATTAGCATTCATTCGAGCGATGCGACAATTAATCGACAATGCGCATAATTTACAATGGACGACTTTGCCTTTTATTTCTCGCATCTTGGTCATTTTGATCGCTATGACATATAGCCGTGAAATGATATGCATTATTACGTTTGTATGATGACGGGTGTTTTATTATAAACATTCTTCCGCAGAATTAGAAATGTGTAACAATGATCACTAACCTGTCGCATTTAATAAATAATTATTGCTATTTGCGTACGCAGAATACATATTTCTCACACTCTGCATATTGTGTACAAAGTTTGTGTGACTATTAAAAGATGCGGCGGATAAACATAATAGAAGGTCAAACAGTAAAGAGACATTTGAGGAATCAAACGATTTAAAAATGTCTCTTTACTTTTTAACTTTTCCTCGTATATACATACATCATTTATATAATCTGATTAGACCGCAAGTTACAAAATTACACGATACAATGTATAAATTCACAATCAGATAGATACTTTTACAACCTTTAACATATAATTAATGTATAAAAATAACAGCCTAAAATCGCTTTTGATCCGCTTAAAAAAATAACAGGTACAAAATGTAAATCATTACACGAGTAATATTTTACAACACGTGCTTGCAGCGCTTGCGTTTAGGAATCCTTTGCGGTATCGTCCGTATCACAGTCTTCACCATCCTGCGCTGCCTGACCTTGCAAGGCGCGGCGTTTTTGCAAACGTGCGCATCGTGGGCAACAATGATTACGTTTGGACCAACAAACGCGGTGATGCACCGCCGAGCACTGCTGACATATAATCGAGCTCGCATCCCATGGATAAATGATCTCATCATTGCCGCATATTTCGCATAAATGTCCCCTGAGAAACATTACAAGTTATATCAAGGTCGGGAATATATCTTTTTACAGACAATAATTAGAATTAGAATTATGGTAAGTTTTTAGAAATAATGTAAAAAATTCTGCGTGTAATTGAATGTCAGGAATGATGACAATATAAGATTTTGATAAATAAATTAAGCGAATACATCCTTTTTTCGCTTGAATACTCACCTTGCTTTGCAGAGTTCACACTGCTGCGTGATGTGTGCATGCATCGTGTCGTACGCAGCGCGAAGTTCGTCCAGAAGAACGCTACTTTGGAGATCGATGAGATCCTTGACGGAGTAATTACCGGAATTCTCGATCATGTGCGTGCGTATCCCGATTTTCCATGGTAATCCTTGAGTGCAAGCTTCCACGCACAGGACTAAATATCTCTTCATCATTTGCATTTCTTCTCGCATTCGCTAAAGTTCAATATGCATATATATATTTTGTATCTATTATTTTTGCATACTTTAATGTTTAATACTATTTATTTGTAAAAGGTAATGTTATCAATTTATTTATTTATTAATTGCTTATTGCGAGTTTCACATTGATTGAAATTCAAATGCTATTAAAATTAAATTGGTTAGTGTTTAGCATTTCGATACATATTACGCACATTATAATCACATAATGCATACATTGCATAGATGCATTTTAAAATCTTATTTTAATTTAAAAAAAAAAGGAAACATCTTCATTTACAATTTAAATACCTAGCAATGATTTGTATATCTATTTCGATTGTACAATGTTGTCATTACTGCTCACCTTTACGAGGGATAAATCCGGGACCAAGGTGAAAAGTTTCGGGTTTAACTCTTCTAGCGGTAGCACGGAACGATCTTCCAGGAGCATCAGAAGCTGCGCTGCGGCGCGAGATACCAGACGCGGCTCCATATCCCAATTCCTGATCACTCTTGCAGGAATGACCATGGCCGTATTCCAGTGGCATCTTTGACAGTAGTAGAGACCGCTGTAGTCGCAAAGTCGCGGCTCTACCCACACTGATTCTAGAAGCATCATTCTTTTATTACAATACACATCCTTGCAACTCCGCGCTCATAAATTTTGCGGAAATAGCAAAAACACATTTTGAACTAGTTGCAGTAGCGATAAGTTTGTAAATATAATATAAATAATATACATGGTGAAATACCTGTATTTTTAAAAGAACTGCCGAAGCAGGATAGCGATAGTCCTTTCGAGAAAGCTTGTAAGAAGACAATACTTACTACGATTTTCTTACGGATGTCTACGTAACTTAATACGAAATGAACAAATTAATGAGCGGACATAAAAATAAACATATGGACAACCTATTTTATCGATTTTTATGATTAGAGAAATGTTCACCGGATCTCTTTTACTCATCAATCTGAACTTGTTGAATATAAGTACTTACTGAACGTTATTCGCACTTTGCATTCCGCGCAACGGTAGCCCTGCTTCGAGAGCCCTTGTTCTGGACAGATGTCTTTTGTATGAGTATAACCGCCGGCCTCGCTGGCAACCACGTGCACGCAGACACGACACACGTTGTTCAGACACTTCCAGTGGCAACTAAATTTGCAATCTGAAAAAGTAAAACGTCGCGTTGTTGCTGCACATCAACAAAAAACCATAGCTATTGATTAAACTTGTTAGAAGGCTAATGTCTACATTGATGTATACATATTAATTAATGTAATCAATCTAAAAACACATCAGATACTATTTACCATTGCACATATACCATGATTGCAGCATCGTCCAGATCGCTCCACTGCAGTGGTCACAGTAAATCGGGCCAGATGTGGTGATGTAATATTTCTGCGGTACAAAATGATGTCCCAGGATTACACGAGTTTCGAAGAGATTCTCGTCTGAGGTCTCGCGCAATTCCTGCGCACGCAACCGCAATTCGATCAGCCGTCGAACGAGCCATTTGCGCTCGTCTGAACACTCGGCGCTCTCCAATACCATCAACTTGCACTTGCGTACCATCTCTTGAAGGTCCTCTTGAGATGCATCCTAAATGAAATGATGACATATAATTCTCATTAATTCTTTCGCCTTTTTCTTGAAAGAAGGGATGACAAATTTTATTATTTTATAACTGCTATGTAGAAATAAGTAGTAAACAAATAATAGTGTTTAATAATTTATATTCTATTAATTTATTAACTAAAATTTATATGTTGTATAATTAATAATCAAAGTCTTACCTTAGATAATGAAAGCATTGTCTCTACTGATTTTAAGCTGAAGGGAATAGTTCCTTTGCTATCAGAGCTGTCATCCGCTTCTCCCGTCATATAATCGGAAGAAGATGAGGGTGTTGATGCCATTGTGCCAGAGCTGTTGGCTCGTATCCTTGATTCATAATGTGAGTCATTCTCTCCAATAGGAGAATTGCTCTTTATATCCACCATTTTCTACATGATACATATAAAAAGAAATAATTAGAGAAAATATATCATGTTTTCTTAGCAAAATAATGTCACCAATATTTGTTAATCATGATAAATATGCTTATTATAATGTAATTTTTGTATTTTATCCCTTAAATTAGAATTTTAATTCTTAAATCTAGCCTAAAGAAAGAACACAATATTATCACAATCAAGTAAAGAATTTATTCTAATAGCAATATTTTTGTAAATAAATTTGAAAAATTAAATTATTGCATATTTAAAAACAAGCAGTATATAAAAATATAATATGAAGAAACTGAGTATTTAAAAAATAGAGATAAAAATAGAAATTAAAAAATATATATCATATATGTGTTTTTACGTTTTCTGTGCATATATTTTGGAATAAACTCTTCGATTTAGCTTCAAAAAGAACAACGTAAAGAAAAAATACATACCACTTTTTACTATGCTTTTTAAATAAAATTTCGCAAGTTATCGCTTCAACTTGTATAAATATACGTTATATTTTTAATTGTCATTATATAGATGCGCACAATTCAACAACAAATTTGAAATCAGAAACAGATAAATAAATAAAATATTAAATTTAAAAGCACTTGCATCTCCACAGAAAATTTAGGTTATGTTTAGCTGTTTTTTTTTCCGTTCACAAGGATGTGTTCTGAAATCAGCTGTGGTGCGCAGCGCGTTTTCATAGCGCGAAGTTGAAGTTTGACAAATCGCGCGACGAGCTTGATTTCAAATTTGTCCTGAATTGCTTGCAATTATTTGTAGAATATGAAAACTAAATTAATCAATAATTACTAAAGTCACTAAAACTTCAGCAATATTTTGCGCAAATGTGCGTAAAATATTCCAATAAACTTAATGTTAAATAAATTTATTTTTTTTCTACAAAACATTTCGTTTACAAAACAGCTGAATTAGAAAACACATAATTGAGATTTTATAATTAACATAAAAATTTACAACGTACGTTTAATTAATAAATATTACTTTACACTTTTTTTATATAAATAATATAAATAATTTCTAAATTTCCAATTTGTGTTCACACAGGATACTTAAACAATAAAAGATCGCCGCTAATATAAACATCATGTTTGTCTCAAAATTGCGTTGGCACACTTTAATGCTTCTTTCGCACACAAGTATCATTACAGAAAAAATATTTAAGAAGCATAATTTCTAGATTCAATGTATGTGTATGGGAAAAAGACTGTTTTGTTTGTAATATATACCTTAAGCGGTATTAGTTTCAGTCTTAAATGTAGGAAGCGTATGTACGTTTTGAAAAATCCACTTTCTCGTTAGAGGTTCACTACGATTACGCTACATTGTCACTAAAATCTATTGAAATCTATGAAAAAACCGACATATACAGACAACGTTTTACACTCACATTTCCGGATCATTTTCTATTAAAATATGCATTCTATGCAATGATCGCCCTACTCACGGATCCATATATCTTAAGCGAAGAATCACAAAAGCTGCAATTAGTGTTAAGATCTTCAATAATCTAGAACAACTGGAACAATTTATATCCAAGCGAAATTCTGAATACAGATGTAAATAAAAATCTTTAACATTACATCGCTTAAAATAAAATGTAACATAATCTGTAATCACTCTATTAACAAACGAGTAAAAGTTCGAAATATATGTCCTAGATTCCTAGAACTTAGAACGTCCTAGAATGCTTTCCGCGAAAATATTTCTAATATTTTCTGGCACAGCTTTCTCGTAGCATCAGTTAATTTTGAAATCTAATCTTTACATATATATATATTTAAATTTTATATATATAATATATAAATTTACACAAATCATGAATGTTTGAATTTTGTATTAAACAAATATGCATTTTGATGTTTCTCCGCACAATTTCGGTAAAGTATTATTTTTGGAATGTATATTTATATATAAATATAAATTTAAAAAGTAATATCAAACCAAAATCGTGCAGAATTTCATGCAAAATTACAAAACTCATACACATGCTCATACTCATGCTACATAGACTTAGAGAAAGATATCAGAAACGTTGACAGGATCGATCAATTTCGTACAATTTAGCACGTTTTTGTTGAAGAAAGAAGAAAGAGCAAATGTACTATATAACTGTATAATTGTACAAGACAATTTGAACTTAATACTTATGCTTTGGTTTAAGAGAACATTTTGCGGAATCTCTGTGACGTTATTATTGAGATAAACAAAGCACGAAAGAGAGAAAGAGATAGAGAATTATTCGTACGATATTATTCGGAGAAATATAGAATAAACGCGACTATATATCATTAATATTTATATAGGACAAGATCGTGTTATCTTATGAATTAGATGTTGCATGTATGTACATACATACTAAATATTCGCTATACACACTGGGACTCGAGTTTCATTCGGCCAATACATATGTATACCTTCTGGCAAACTGACAGTTGGAAGTTTAGAAAAACAAGCAATATTTACAAATTTTATCTCGCATTTAAAATTCAAGATCCCTCTTATCTTCGAGAGAAGATATGTGGCATACTTTTGCATTGCAAACTCACTGAAAAAAGGATTCAGATATTTGAAAAATATGATAAAAATGTTTAAGAATTGCTTCAATTGCAACATATTTCTTTGTATAAACATGATCATCATAATCGCCATCGTTGCATTTCAACGCAATTTCAAGAGTGAACTTTTCTGAATCTACCAGCTGCAACGCCTGGAGTACAAAATACTGAAGATCTTAATCGCGTCAGCGCTGCTTTCTCGGCAAAATCAAAACTCAAGTTCTACCGATATCGATGGAAATAATATAATAATGAAGAGAGGGTTAAAGATACATCGTGTGATAGTTAAATTATATCTGTACAATATTATGGAGCGATTAAGCACGAGACGCAGCCTCGTCTGTACAACAAATACTAATTACAAATAAAAATTTACGTTCGTTAGAAGCCATTAGATCAAGAATCACCCAATGCACGAAAGATCACTTATCAAACATTAAAAATAGATAACAAGGTCAAGGTTCGTTTAATAGGAATGGGTGGAATCAAAGGGGGAAGGGGGATATTATCGTGTGTAGACTAATCAATAGATACAGAGAGAATCGTTTACAGCACTA